GTCGGTAAGCAAACCGCTTACCGACCTTCGCTCTGCGATTTTCGCCCATTGGGGGCATCGCTCTGCGATTGCATTAGCGATCGCAAAAGCGTCACCATAGAGCGAATTCATCACTCTACGGGGCACTCGTTGTGCGAGGCACCACTGTACAACTTTTGTTTAATCTTACAACTTAATAGTTGCACTTATATCCCACCTTTCCCCCAGTGAGCTCACAATGGCATGCATAGCTCTATTCCACTCATAGCAACTCTGTGAGGTCAGATAAGCTAAGATAGCATGATCACCCAATGAAATTCACAGTCAGGTGGGGATTTGAATCCAGGTCTCCTGAGCCATAGTCCAAGCATGTAATAAAAACCTTACTTCACGTTAACTGGTGCAAACCCAAACTTACCTTTTTGCTGTCTCCAAAGACTGTTGTTCTGCCAGCTCCTTCTGCAGCTCTCTTTCTTTTGCCTCTTGCTGCCCGATAGGGCAATCCTCAGGCACAGTGAACAGTGACAAGGCATCTTTGCTGTCTTCTTCTTGAAGAACTTTGGCAAAAACCTTTTCAGCTAGAAGTCGTACAGACTCATCAATCTCAGAAATGTTCAACTTTGGGAATTGTCGGGGCATCTCGGCTAAAAATAAAAATATAGAATTTTAGCTAAGTATTACAGCAAGTAATCACCATGTTATTACTTTATTTAATCCTTTTTGAAAAAAAACAGGGAACACTACACAATGGTGGCCATATGACCCCTTGAGGGGGGCCCTGGCACATTTGAAGGGGAGCACAGACTGACGAAAATATTCTTCGCACACCACTTTATAAGGTTTGTTGTTATCAAGAAAAGTTCTAATTATGTCCACGTGATGCATTTGAAATTTTCGAACGGAATACATTGACCAAAATGCAGTTACTTGTTCCAATGAGAGTAGAAGAGTTGAGGCAAAAGGATTAACTTTTGACTTATTATTCAGCAATTGATTCAAAGTTTTTTTCCTAATCGGAAAAAATGGACAAAATTGAATTTAAGCCATTGTTTCTCTTGCCCAGGGTCTCCCCTTCATCCTAAACATGTAAGGTAAAACCTGAGAGACATTGCACAGTTATGTGCAAAAGTGGACTTTCTCCTTTGTTTGTAACAAGAAATCCGTTAAACTACATAAGAACCCACATTTGAAGCTTGGTTACAAAAGTGGCTTCTTATACTCTTGTATGGCAGGGAAGAAAAGACCCAGACTAGTCACACAGAACGGACATGGCACAGCCCCTTTGACAGCAGCAGTTGCTTTGAAGGAAAGGCTAGTTTTCACAATAAAATTGTTAGATTATTTATACAGTATATGGTAAAATAGGATTACCCTTACAAAATTCAAGATATGATAGATGTGGAGGAATGACTGCTTCATCAAGTGGCCCATTTCCAAAGAGGTTTACATTTACTTCAGCACCATTTTGTCAGGGCACTGAAGTTGGGGCTAAGCAGTGTTTGTTTTAATTCACACCATGCTGTACTGATACACAGCCTTTACTCAATAATCTGGCTGCATAAATTGGTTCAAAATCTTACATAAACAGTAAAATAATGGATGTAATCATTGTCCATTTCTTCTGAAAAAGAACAAAGCTAAATTACCTGAATTACAGTATCATACTTGGACGAGAAGGGCAGTTGTGTAAGTATTCCCCCCATTCTGACAGATCCCTCACCAAGCAGCTGATCAAGTGACCAGTTTGAGACCAGGCACACAAAGGGAAACCTGCTGGAATAAGGGGAACACTTACATGATTGCCCTTTTGCTCCATGTTTTCTGAATGATGTGCTAGCCATAGAAATTAATTTAATTGTGCGTAATGTAGGACAGTTAAGCTCCAGCTACCATAAGCCCCACACACCACAGATAATGGTCAGGAATCTGGAGGGCTGGAAATTCGCAACTACATTTTAAATAGTCTGGAGTCCGATTATACGAGAGATGATTTGTCCTATGCAAAGCTCCCAGGATCCTGAGAATAGCCTTCAAAATCTTATGCTAAGTGTTGTCATAAGAGGCTTAAAAAAGTGAGCAAAATAGGCTGGGGCTTTTTTTCCTAGTACTACTTCAGTTCTAAAATATCCTTCCATTTGGGTTGTGAAATGCCCCTCTCTTCAAACCCTCTCTGACAAAATTTGGAAACCCTTTTCCTCTCCAAAGGCTACAGTGTTTTACTGCATAGTGTTGCAGTTGCTCCAGTTCTAGCCTTAGTCTTAATTGCAGCTCAAATTTTAAATTGCTGCCTCTGATTCATGTGACTTTTGCATCCTACCATTGCTTTTTAAGTCCATAAGCAGCTACTCTCATTACAAAAGAGAGATATGAATAGTGCATCATCATAATCAGAATCTTCTCCAGTGTCTTCCTGTTATCTTCTCACAGCTCTAAACAACTGTAGTAGTTTCAAAGACAGCATGTATTAGCCATCACCATTCAAATATTTTTAATATTACAAATGTCAAGCAGTTTTTAGCGGCTTATGTGAAAAGGCAGAGAGTTGCAATTCGACCTCTAAGGCCAAATCAAACAATGCATTACTGTCCAAACAGTTGGTATGGATTTTTCTTCTCTGCTTCTTCTTCCAGTCATTTGTGCCATTTGAAATCCTCCTCCAGAGGGGCTTCCAGCTCCCTGAAACAAGTTTTTAGAGTGCATAGAGAACTATAGGGAGTGGGGGGGTCACTAGCCAAGATAAGCCATCTCCAATCTTTAACACATATATTGCAGAAGATTGACAGATAATCACAAATAAGAAAAAGACCAACATTTATGCTCATTCTCAACTCATTTTTCATCAGATGTTTATTCTATTCTGTACATATATTAAAATATTTTTCAGTCATAAAATTTCTGAATTTTAAAAATTCTCTTTTAAAAAATAAAGTGTCCAACTTACATCAGCTGTGAAATAGGAAGTTTGGAGAAAAATTATGTGACTATTTCCTGTTAGCATTCAGTTACAATTTGTCATGCTTTTAGAAACCTTGAGTTTGTCAGGTATTCTATGAAACCAAAGTGATCATTTTAATGCCTTTTAAAAAAATGAACATGGGCCAATGAACTATTTTGAACATCATGGTCTACATGTATTTGTAAATATAAGTGAATTCTGAACTTCAACATAAAGTCACAGGTCCACCAAAATTAACAACTGTAACAGTGCAATCCTATATGGGTCTACTCAGAAGTCATATTGCCCAAGGAAAGTACAACAGGGTCGCAGCCTGAAACCCCATCCATCTCAGTGGAAGCATTAGATATGTAGCCCATAAACTTAAGTAGGGCTTACAAAGAAAGCTTAAGGATGGTTAGAATATGTTTGGGTCATTTTGCTTACTGTGCAAGAAAAAGGTTATCCCAGAAGCAAAAACAAAATTTACTGTAACTTATTGAAACTGTTTCCATAACTTCACAGGAATGGTACAGCATTGCAACTGGTGACATGCAAGCCTTTTGTTCTACAGGAAATAACTATTTGTTAACATATCTACTTCTAAGGGCTAGCAGAGGCTTGTTCATTCTGAGGACAATACCCAAATGATGATATATCCTGTTGATTGCAAACGAATGAAGAGGCAAGGTATTTTAACTTCCTAATTTCTTCACACTGAACCTAGTAGGTTTTATTTCCCATTTCTTGTCTTTGCAAAAAGGTTTCCAATAATGCTTCTGCTGAACAGCAATATCCTGTTGCAACCAACACACACGCTGCACAAGCTCCAGTTCTCATTACACAGATACTGAAACAGTTGGCGCCTTTTGTCACTCAAATATTTTGATTTTTACCCTGATATGTAACTGACATGCAAAAATATTTATTGAAATTCTCAACATAATCCACACAACACAGAGAGGTTTTCCTACCACCGACATGCAGGCCTTATTCTACCTTCCTTAGCTTTTAAAAAAGAATAATGAAGCAGCCTATCTTCCCTGACCACTCTGTTTACCACCAAAACGTCTTTTGATATAGCTAAGGAGATTTTAGTGAACATTACAAACATCCCAAGGGTGCTTCCTGCATTATAGGTGAACCACTGAGCCAGCCCAGGCTGGTGACGTTGCCACCTCTTGGTTCATGATGAGTGCTGGTAAAGCTGGCCTTCTGGAAAGTATGATCACCAAATCCAAAAATGAATGAGCTGTTCTGCAAACATGAGCAGAAGAAGCAATGGGGCGAGATGAATAAGGCACTCAATGTCGCACTATTAGCCTGCGGTTTTGAAAAGGCACCTTTTAAAAGCAGTACTGGTACATCCTTTCTGACTGAGTATCTCTTTGAAGCTGCTCTTTTCCTTCCCCTTTCCTATGGCCTATCAACATACAGTATTTCCTGAGCGCACGCTATACAAGCGGGCCAGGCAAAAGAGAAGACAGAGGGTGTGGACCCGCCCGGGATGGCGAGGCGTGCCCGCCACCAGGGCAAAGGCATGGGAGCTTGGGGAACAGACACCTATGAGTTCCAGCTTAGGCAGGGCAGCAAGTGCCAGGCAACCCTTCCGCTCTGCTCCAGAGGCGGCGGCGGCGGCGGTTACAGCAAGTGCGCGCCCGCCTCCCAAGGTCAGCAGCTCTCAGCCTCGGTCTGTCAGCCTTCTCCACTTTCTGCTCTGGGGCTGGAGGCGGACAACAGGGGAGACTTACCTAGCGCTCCAGGAGCAGCCATGCTGGAGCTGGCCGAGCCCAGGCGGCTTCTGTGGAGCACGGGAGCCCTTCACACGAGCCGGTTGGTCGGCCGGTCAGCCAGCCGGGCAGGCGAGAAGCCAGAAAGGGAGGAGCCGCCGCGGCCAGAAGCTGCCGCATTCATTCCTCCCCGCGCGCTGCAGCTCCCCGCGGCTACCAGCACAGCCTCTTAAGCCAGGCCGCCGGTGCCAGCCCCTCACGAGCTGTCCCCACCCACCCCGCCGGGCGCCGCTGCCTGGGGCCCTCCTTCATGCCGTCAGGGCCATGGCAGCCTCCTCAGCCGGGGAGAAGGGAGGGTATGGTCGGAGGGGGAGCCGAGAGGGAACAGCGAAGCCCTCTCAAGAACACAGCATTTTGTTTCTCGGTGGTCGGAAAGGCGGCACCGTCCCCGGGCAGAGATGTGCGTCCGCGTGCCCAGGGCATCACCCGAAAGCGGCACCTGCTCCTCAAGGGCGCGGGCGCGCTTCCCTCCCGCCCCGAACTTCAACCATGACGCAGGGCTAAGCAGGGGTATATCTTCTCCCCCTCAGCCCACCCCACCTTGGTACTCTCCCGCTCTTCCGCTCCTCTTTTACACCCAGCTGCTAGCAAATGCATCCGGTAATCGCTCGCCCGAGGCTTAATCCGGCTTAATCCCACCGGAGCCCGCTCCATCCGATTTGGCGAGGCGTAGTCGCGGGAGCTGAAGGAGGGCGCGCGCAGTCGCGAGACGCCTTTCCCCGCAGTCTTGGCTCGAGTCTACCTCAGGTGGGTTGCCCGGGCGAGTCTCTGGGCTGAAGAGAAGACCAGCGGTAGCCAAGGAGTCGCCCGTCGCTGACCTCCAAGCCAAGCCTTCTTTCGACGGCTTTTGGCAGCCACAGGAGCGTCTTGCGCGTGAACAAGAAACTTCTTCTCAGGCAGAGGAGAGCTCAGGTTACAGGGGCGCTTCACGTCCCTCTGGTGGAAAGGCAGCGGTAGCGCCATTGACTCGCCGCTTGGCACCCCTTGCTGGGAAGTCTCCATTTCCCTGCTTGGCGAAGGCCGTTGCCCGCCCTTTACCCGGACGCTTCCTCATAAACTCTAGGCGGCATTCTCGCCCCCAGGAAGAAACACTAATTTGACGACCAAACGCCAGACCCCTTTGCGCCCCAGGACACGGCTGCCGACTTCAGACGTGCGGGTCCCGGGCACGGGGGAGGGAAAGGAGGGAAACGCCTTCTTCGCCCAAGTCTCCCTTGTTGTTTGTGGACCGAAATCCACCACCGGGGAACGTAAAACGCCGGTGTGTGTGTTTTTGTGTGTGCGTGTGTGTGTGTGTGTGTGTGTGTGTGTGTTCTTTCTTTTCTTTCTTTCTTTCTTTCTTTCTTTCTTTCTTTCTTTCTTTCATAGATCTCAGGGAGACGAGAGAGCGCACCCATTTTCTTGAACTTGCTTCGGAGTAATTTTAACAGTGGGCACTCAATGTGGTGCACTGGATAGAATGACGGGCTAAGATTCAGGAAACCTGGGTTCAAATGCTGGCTCGGCCATGGAAACGGGGGCACGGAAAAAGCTTCTTAAATATCCACGTTGGAAACATTCTCAGAGTCGCTCTACTAGATGTCACATCACACAATTCAAACGTGGAATCCTTACATCTCTGCTCAGAAGTGCTGTTAAGTCCCACTGAGTTCAGGGGACTTGCCTGTAAGTGCAAATCTATATTTGAGACCAAGTGCTCTAGAGAAAGAGGAAAGGCTGTCAGGAAGCAACTTCTGAACTTGACAGTCTGTAATATAACCGGTGAAAGATTCTGGTTTTCAGCTGGAGGAAATAGTTTGACCAATTCCTCCAAATACTGTATAGTTTTGCTGTAAACGTGAATAATGAGTATACCTCAAATTCTTCCAAAAAGCCACTTAATGAAATGTTAGGCGATGATTAACATCATTTGTTTATCACTGCCCAGACAAACTGACATGATTTCAGGTCCAGCTGATTTCAATCGGGGCAGGTATACAACTGTTCTGTTGAAATACATGGAACGCAAACATGTCTCTCACTCTGTTCAATGGTACCTCCTGCCTGTTGTAGTCTTGAGTTCTCAGGTTGGGATACAGGTGAGAGGAGCTTCATTCACTCAGCAAGCAAGGATATGGTGTAGAACACAATGCCAGTGTTACTGTAATTTGCATTGCTTCTAGCTTACGGTGACCCTATGAATTAGTGACCTTCTAAAAGGTCTGCTGAGGTCTTGCAGCCCCAAGGCTGTGGTTTCCTTTTGTTAGAGTTTTAATTTGGGGGGGGTCAAATTCTTTTCCCCCCCTACACATTAAAAGTACAGTGACCCACAGAAAAGAATAACTGTAATTCCTGAAAGTTCACCCCTTTCTCATTAACTACCACTTAGTCTCAGTAACGTTGAGACATTTGCAGGAGAAAGAATAAAAACCATTACTTATAGTTGCTTAGAATTACAGACTTAAGCATGCTGCTTTCTTTACTGCACATGCACATACTTAGCAACCAGCCAAATTGATCAACAGCAAACAAAACAACACCATCACCAAACAAAAGAGAGGGAAAGGACAGGTGATACTCTCTTTGAATTCAAAGGCTGGAAAGAATGATTAGTTAGTACTGTATAATAGAATCATCCCAGCTCAGAAAAGTCCCTCCCAATCGCTCAAACCACAGACAGCATTTGAGGTTGCAAACGGAACCCCAACACCTTTATTAAGTCAGTCCATTTCAAATTTCCTTTTTTCCTTCTGCCTTCAAGTTTTTCCAGCATTGCTGTCTTTTCTAGTGGTATACCTCAATGATTCAATGCAGTGCATCAAATCCAAGAACCAGGCAACCAACATGTGTAGCCAGGTGGAGAGAGGGTGTTGGGCTTGTACCAGACAGTAGAACCCTATGACAGCAAACTGCTTTTGCAGCTGAGCTGATACTTAAAAGCAATTTGTGATATGGGGGAAGAGTCTGCTCTTTAAAGAAAAAAGAGTTTAACATCATACTCGATACACTTAGCCTCTCGGGTATGTGTAAAGTAGTTCTTTGGAGCTGAGCCAACATCAACTCTCTTGGATAAAACCACAATAAACTTCAGTGTATCTACTTTGCTTTCTTCACAATGCTTTTTAAAGCATTGTGAAGAAATTTTGTTAGAAGGTAGTTTTTAGCCTCACTGTGCCAAGGTTCTGAAAAACATAGTGTCTTTACCTGTTTTTAATGTCAGTCTATTTTTGAACATGTGCAAAGTTAATCTCTTGCCTTACTAACTTCACCAGGTCTTATGGATCTGTAGTTAGAAGGAAGATGTAATTATCCAAAGCATTTTACTCCAGGCGGGCTAAATATTTCGTACTTAGAAATGTACGAAGTACTACTTACAGACCCACTAAAGGCAGAAGTTAGTTCAAATGCAGTGACTTTGAGACCAGTGGGAGCACTTATTTTATCCCTGTGTAAATTGCAACCCAGTATGCGTAGGAAAAATTAAAAGGTTTCTGTGCCACAGAACACCTTGAGGGAATTACGTCTGTGAAACCTAAGTAAATAAATGGATGTCAATTGCTGTCTAGATTGGTATTTAAATGATAAAGGATACACCCGTTTTAGTAAGATTAATGTGTTTTTAAAAGGTTTCTTGCTGAGGCAGGAAACTTTATTCTAAGAATTTCTCCCAACATAATTTATCATTCTGCTGATCACAATAATAGAAGACCAACCAAATATTCTCTTTTAGATTACCTCGACATCATTCTAAATGTTTAAATGCTTCAATATATAACATAATATTTATATATTTTTCTCTTTCCAGTGTATTCCTTCTAGAAAGGAAAGATGTGTAATCAATGCTTAATTGGCATTGTCAAGCTTCAACAAGAAGCAACTAAATTAGTTTATGTAAATATGTTCTATAATACAAGCACAAATAAATATACATTCATTGTTTTAAAAGTCTGTTTAGTGAGATTCGTATTGCATCAAGCATGTGGGGATTTGCTGGTGTTCAACTGCTGGATAGATCAGTGGTTTAGGTATCTGGTTGGGAGTTCGATTTCCCACTGTGCTTCCTTGATAGGGGCTGGACTTGTTGATCCATAGGGTCCTTTCTATCTCTACAGTTCTAAGATTTTTAGATTATTATGATTATTGTATTGCTTCATGTATAAACCTTTGTTAACATTTTTAGATGATGATGATTGTTGTTGTTGTTGTTGTTATATTGCTTCATGTATAAACCTTTGTTAACAAACAGTGAATGTTGGTTCGTAATAGTGAAGTTGGAGTCTTTCGTGCAGCAGGTTAAAAGAAAGGAGCAAACAACTATGTCTGCTTCAAGAGGTATTCAAATCTGTTTGCTTGGTCAGTTTGCATTGTTATTTCATATGTAGGTTCTGGTTCCTGGTTCTCTCCCCTTCCCCCACCACCCCACTTGTGGATTCATCACCAACCACATCCACTTCTTTGACATCTCTTCAGCATCCCTTCAACATCAAGTGGGGCCACCCCACATTCTCTGTGCTGGGCACTGAGGAGCTGGCAGGAAGGCAGCTCCCATTCTCATTCTCCTGCCCCACTGCAGACACCGTGGATATCCATCCCAATGGGTTGTGGTGGTAGCAACAGCAACAATGGTGCCTGCCTCGTGCAGCTCTTTTTGATATGAGGAATAACTAGAACTCTCTTTTGGTTCCCTGAACATAACTTGGACCAGTCTCTTGTTTCCTTCTAAATCTTCTTTCAGGGCCCTTAATTCGTAATGGGCCCTTGATTCTTAATGTTTTGCATATTTAAACTGAGATTTTATATTGTGAAAGTCATTATTCCTCAAAGAGGAATGAGTTTCTCTTCTCTGTGTAAGAGAACACTACATGGCCCTTAAATAACACCTGAGTTATCTTCCTTCTAGGCTTGTCTTATCCAAGCCTCATAATTTACTGAGCCTACAGTCATATGCACTCTTACCTAGGCTAAGCCTGGTACTGTACAACTAAATTCTGTATCCTTTCCCTCTTGATGAACCAATGCTTTATCTTAACGTCTTGAACTCATGAAAATATCCCCTGCTATGGTGTACAAGCAATTGCTACTTATCACCCTTGACTAATGGTATGGACAGAGCCGTGTCAATAAACTTCTGCTTCCTCCTGGAACACTGTATGGATCATAACGGCTGGTTTCAATGTACCCAAGAGGTTTTATAATCTGAGCAGAAGACACACACACCTTTCTAAACCGCTTGTGGAACTCTAGGGTCTAAAGTGAGGCAAAGGAAACTGCAGTGAGGGAAACAATGCTCAAAGCTGTCATGTTCACATAGAACTTGATGTCAAGTTCTAGACCTATATTTTTGGAAAACTTTCTAACTTATATGTGCATTGACCTATTTGAAAGAGGCTTTTCTTATTATGTGCCGTCAAGTCACATCTGATTTATGCTAACCATAAATGTGGTTTTCCAGGTATGTGGGATATTTAAAGAGTACTGTAGTTTTACCAGCACTACCCGCTACTGAATTTCCAGGGTTGACTGGGGATT